TAGCAACCACCTAACAAAAGCCTAAAACTACCTATTTGTAGTGTTTATGGACCTGCAACACCTGAATGCTTTGTGTTACTTCAAATTTACAGTAACATCATATTCATATTAACCAAGCTGAATTATACACAAGTATATTATAACATTATCATGTTACATGGCAACCACCTGGCAGTGGCAAGCCATTATTTTAACACGTATGCATGTTAAAAAGCATTATATCACTTTCAACAACACAAAGACGTCGAAGTCTTTGGGATTTTCTGTTGTATTTGATGCTTTGACAAACAAAAATGTATCTTATACTTATCCAGGGGGACGGCCAAACCCTTTTGCAGGAAACATGCTTAATGCAGGAAAACATCATCTATACATGTAATGACATAACTACCTAAATATTTAGCAATTATTCACATTATTGTCCTAATTATTTAGTCAGTTTGTTGACCGACAGTAGTTTCTAAAAAAAAAATTATAAAGGTTACCCAGAGCCTTATGTTGGGGTTTTCCCCCAAAGAGGTCAAAGAAAAATCAGCAGGAGTGGAACTGAAACATCTTTTTTTTAATCTGTTTATTTACTCAATCACTCAAGCAGAACAGGCACAGATTTCAATGAAGTAACAGTGACTCATTGTTTTTCATTTGTATATGCACTGCCACCATCCAAAGTCAGAAAATAACCCACGTCTCAGAAATTGATATATTCAGAGTTTCAGTTCAAATCAGTTCCTTTTCTCTTCTCGTCTCCTTGCCCTACAAACCCACCTTCTCTCCTCTGGGCCCAATTGGTCCTTCTGGTCCAGGGAATCCTGGGACGCCTGGCTGTCCCGTCAAACCTGGGAAACCCCTTTCACCCTGCAAGCAATGACACAGTCAAACAATCATTTGTTTCATATTTAAATGTAATTATCATATTTTTGGTGTCTTTTCCAGCTACACACAGTTCATAGCTTCTGTACCTGGACAGCTGCACATTAACTTTTGCTCAGCAGGCTCTGTGGTTCTGCACATTTAAGTTGGAATAAATAACTGATCCTATTTTAAGAGGTTTAAGACCAGATAAGTTTCAGATTTAATTTCAGTCTGGTCATAATAGAAAGGCAGAGTTATTTATAGCCTGTAGCACATTTAAACAACAGAGGGTTTAGAGAGATGTATATTTACATTACACATCTCCAAAAACCACAACATGCATCAAAATCTGAAAGGTGTGTTTTGTTGTATTAACTAATTATTATGGACCCAGTGATGTAGTGGTCATTAAGATGTGTTTGATTTTGTTAAATTAATGATTATTCATCTAATAAATCATGACACTGCTCTCCCCTCTACATAAGCTTCCTTTATGCGTTAAAAGTATCTGTATTAGAATCTGCAATACAAGCCTGTGTTTACTTGGTATTGGATCGATACCAAAATCTGCAGTATTGGACTATTATTCAAAGAAATGAGAGGAGATTAAAATGTACTGAGAAGGATTGAAAACATATTTCACAACATGAAATCTGCTGTCTTGAGTTCTTGAATGCTTTCTCTCGATTATTGAGGAGTCTTTGGACTTTGAGGTGACAGTCGTTGTAATTTGGCTCTATGTGAAACTGAACTGAGTTGAATTAAACGTGTGAGTGTGTTCCCCAACAGCCGAGGTGTTTCTGCGTAAATGAGGTGAAAACTTTGCCTGTCTTGGTATCTTGTCAAACATTAGCTCCTCCCGTCATCCAGCTCGTACAATCACAGGCAACACAACACGATGAAAGCCGGAAATAGAGCCGGGCTGCCTTTTAAAATATGTGTGAGCTTCAACAGCAAAATGTAAGATCCACAGAAACAAAATTCAAAAAAATCACAATTCATATTTCTGCTACTTTACTACATCTCTGTGTGTTATGATTCTGTGACATTATTTATTATTTAAAGACCCGTGTCCGTTATTTTGGCAATAGTGTTTCAGCCTGTGATAAGTCTGACTTAAATACAGACTTCACTGTAAGACCGGCACTTGTCTGGTTAAAGAGTAATAATAAAAAGAAGAAGATTTCATTAGCCATCCCAAGAAAAGCTGTTCTTTGTGTGCATATTTTTTTTTTTTTTAAATATGTGTTGCTTTTAATTACGTGTAAGAAATCTATGAAAAGTCGGGCCTTTGCTCCCTAACTCTGTGCCCTCAGTCGCAAGTTTCAGGTCAAAGTGAATAACACATATGTTCATTAACTGGACGGGAGTATTCAGGGTACACCCACTGGCTGTGGTGTCCCCACATTCTCAACACGGTGGTTACTAGTAACACCCCACGTGTGATTGTGTGACACTGTGTTTACCTTTTCTCCTTTCACTCCACTGCAGTCACATTTGGATCCTGCACATCCATGGCAAGCCTGTTTAAAAAAAAAACAAGAGAAAGAGAAATGAGCATGTTTGGACTTTTACTTAACCAAAAGAAAATCTGCGACATTTCCAACGATGAATAAAACTAACAATTACATTCCAGTGTTCTGAAAATAGAGGCTCGAAAGTCGCTTTTTCCAATTCCATAACAAGCGAAAGATTCCCAGGAACAGACACAAATACTTTGGAGGTTGCATCAGGAAGGGCATCCAGTGTAAGAGTCCACCAAATCAAACGTGTGGAGGAAGCAGGTAAAAGCTGGAAAGCAGCTTTATGGGTTCTGAAAATGTGTCTGTCATGTCTCCTTTTTGTCCTAATTTCCTGCCAAATCTGCAGCCTAAGCGATGTAAAATCAGTCAGAACTCCCTTCCAGAATTGTAAAACCAAACAGTAAATTTAGTAAACTTCAGCAAGTGCTTTGGCATGCCACCGGGGGGCGCTGCGTAATTACACTTTGCACATGTCTTCCCACAGAGGAACAGCAAGGTCAGCGGATTCACCTGCAGGTTTGTTTGCTGATGAGATTGCAGCTGCAAGGTCGGCGAGGCCAAACAGTACTCTAAACTCAAATCAAATAAAGCTTTTATCTCACAGAGAGCACGTTTATCTTCCAAAATACTTCCCTTCTTCCCATCCGTTAGACTTTGGATTCACTTTTTGTGAAGGACCAAAGACTGAGAGAGTTAAGAAAAACTAGGAGGGAGGGATGGATGGATGGATGGGTGGATGGGTGGAGTGGGAGTGCCAAGCTCCTGATTAACTTTTCCCATGCCTGTTGACACAGTGAATGCCAGACGGGCATCAATTGCACGCATGCCAGGCAGTCAGGCTGTGAGAAAGATGGAGAGGCAGAGAGCGCACGAGAGAGGACAGACAGGCGGACATTCTTCTGTGTCTGCAAAAACGTTTTCGTGTCCATCTTTGAGCTGACGCTTTTCACCGTGTTCTCGTTTTACTGACACAGAGGGGACGCAACTAACTCTGAGTGCATTTCCTGGTTCATCCGTTTATCATTAAGTCTAAGAAATCGGAAAGATTCTGGAATAAAAGGCAGTAAACATGCAAAATTGTCTTATTGTTATTGTTCTTAATTTAAACCTTATTTGAATTTCTTTTATCAGCAAATTCCTCCCTGTAGGTTTTAGTCTTTGCAAGGAACTGAAGTAATGTCTTAAAAATGTACTGACATTTTTGACTCCTGTTAGCTGTTTAATAATGCAGATTTTCTGTCATTGTAAACTGATTTAATCCCTGTGATTTAGATTGTCGGCTTAAGAAAAACAGGCAATATGAGGTTGTTGTGATATTTGTAACATTTTTTACTTTAAACTGATAAGGATCAGCTAATGTGTTGCCAACAAGGAAGTCACAGAATGCTATGCAACTCATATTATACTTGGTAGCTTGTTTAATTATCATTTACTGGCCATTACAAATTCAGATACCAAAAGGTTGACAAATAACTAATGCTGGGCGATAATATCGGCCCTGCCAATATATCGATCTGGCTGCAGTGCGATTGCATGGTCTTCCAAAGAGTATCGTGGGCCATGATGATCAGAAAAGCATCTGCCAATATGTGCAATCAAATACAGCGTGTACTGGAAATACAATATACTAAGATCAAGTACCCACAATTAAGCCAACGTGGAACTGCAGCTCCTCTAGTATCCACTCCATAGAGTGACTCCTCATAGACTCCCATAAAAACTAAACAGGTTTGATTTTTCTTTTTTTTGAACAACTCTTTGATGTATTTTTGTTAAGACTAAAAAACAAGTCTGTTACTGACCCTTTCCCCCCTTTTCTAACTTGACCTTTTTCACTTCCACAAAGTGAAAGGGCTTGGGGTCAAAAATCAAGGCTATAAAATTGAATTTCACAATTAATATTTGGCACATTAAACCTCACACTGTTTACCATTTGCAGTTCTGTGTACACATTTAAAAACAGTGCATACATGTTTACATTACATTTGCCACTTTCCAGTGTGTGTGTGTGTAGATAATATGCCCTTGATTATATAAAAATCAAGACAGTCCTACTATCCTGAGCTGCATGAAGGCCAAAGCAAGGCATTTGCATGATTTTATCTCACAACTGGTGCAAAGTGCTGTCTGGGATCACAGAGGGATCATCAGTACACACACACACATGCCTAAATACATCTGTGTGTGTCTCTGTGTGCGTGGGGGTGTTTTTACAAGCCTTGGATCTCCAAATTAGCCTCTGGTCTGCTTCAGCTCAATGCCGTCTGTTCTCCCACGCCCTTGCCTGCAGCTCAGGCTCCATCCTTCTCTGCATCCATCTGTTTTTCTCCACTCTTTTCTCATTTAACCAAAAAAGCATGACAGAGCTTGCTTGCTCTTAAAATCACTGAAACAGTCAGCTACTCTCGAATAACCTGGAGATGTCCACTTAAACCAGCAACAGCGCTGATTTGGACTTGGTTTGTTCTTATAGTACTAGTGTAAGTGGGACGTGAACTTTCAAACTAAATGTTATTTGACCTGTATGTCCTGCCTAATAAAGCCTTTTCTCATGTGCAGACTGAATTTGCAATTAATTATTAATGATTAATCTCTGTATATATATATTTTTTTCTTTTTTTGCAAATAAAAACAAGCCTGGCAATCACTTGTGCAGTGATCCCTAAAAGAGTGGGCCACTTCCCCCAGCAGGGCTGTAAAAGTGCAGCGGGTGGGTCAGGAGCAGTCATTTACAAAAAATAAATAAAAATGCTTTCATTTTAAATTTCATAATTACTTTTGAAATGATCATCTACCATTTATGATTCAGTATTTAACTAAAAACAATATAAAACTAATTAATAAAAAAGCTCTGATATTTATTTCTGATATTTATTTATTGCTCCTCATTTGATCCAAAAAGTATCCAGTGACAAGATCAAAATGAATCAGAGAAAAGACAAAGAAAAGAAGTGCTTTAAATAAGTCTGGTAAGCCTTTCTCAGTGTAAAAGCTGTAAAGGTGGCTGAGATCTTCTTCTACATCCACGATCATGATGTTTGATTTAAAGTAACAGGTGTGTCTGAACACCGTCTGCCACTCTGCTGCCAGAAATCTTCACTTTATCACAAAGAGGATGCAACTTATAAAGGTGTTTACTTTACAGCAAATGTGGCTAAAAATAAAGGGTGAACTGAGAAGAAACAAGGTGGCTTAAAAAAAATCGGACTAAACGCAGCGTTAAAAGATCCTTCTCCCTTTACATGCTGTTCACTCCCTCTCTCTTTGCCCCCACAGCACTGAGGGGGCGTGTAATCCACTTAGAAAGGTCAGTGAACTGCAGATATTTGCTCTACTCTTTCTTTCTTTTAACTCTCTTTTAACCCAGCTTAATTTTCCCCTCACGCCAACCAAGCAACCAGGCCTGAGCAGAGCTAAAGCTACCAGTGATCACCACTGGAGGTCTGTATAGGACCAGAAAACTGCAGCGGTGCAGCTCCGACACTGAGAAGCAGGACTACCAGGAAACAGCACCTGACTGCCGTAAATGTAACTCTGCCTAAACGCAGACATAAAGGTCTATGAACAGTATTTACGACACATATTTTAACTGTGTTACGTATTCATAAATTCAGTATAATGGAATGTGTGCTACTTTAATGCTTAAATTTGCCTATTTTCATGCGAATCTGCACATAAATTTGACACATATATACAAAAGTTGAACAATAAATTCAATAATGAGCAGTAAAAGTGAGTTATAGTTGGTCAAATGTATTTATACAGCACCTTTCAAGATAAACAACACAACGATTCTAAAAGTACATTCACAAAGTGATGGACACACGATCCAGGTGAGATTGGGTGAGTTGACAAGGAGAAAGAGGAGGAGGAGGAAGGAAGTCATGTACCCGAGGATTAGACTGGCGAGACTGGAATTCCCCCCGACACTCATAAAAGAGTGATGATTAGACACGTATAGACGCTGTCCTGCCATGAGCACGCACATATGCATTAATGTAGCAGACAAACAGACACAAACACTCATAAACAGCACGCACAGCTGCGCAGACAGAAAGAGAGCGCGTCCTCGTTTTGAACATCGTTAAATGACGCCTGTTTTCTTACACCGATCACGGCACAAAGCGTGTTCGCTCCGGTCCGCTGGAAAGACGTGGGTGTCTAATCTGGTTCAATTGTCGCCATCCGAGCTAAACCAACCATCAAGAGCAACTTACTGTCCGATTATTTTTGATTATCTTGCGTCTTGAAAATTGAACTTTGTAAAAAGTTAGTTTGAATAACGCAACTGCAGCAAAGCGACACAAGATGGTACCTCTTTTCTTTTTAAGAGAACAGAGCTGAGCTGATTTTTGACTGACATTATAGTCGACTCTCGAATGACTGGCATCACAACTCAGACACAATCACCATATCAGAGCTGGTATAGGGGGTAAAAAGGGGGTCCTTCAGAAAATCTCATCTCCTAGTTGCTGCAGCTTCTTCCTCCCAGATAAGATCCATGCCATCCATGTATTGATGTGTCACTGAAATGGCAGTAAAGAAAGACCAGCTTATTTATGCCTGTGAAAACAATAAATGACATCCAAGTATCGGTGTCATTTACAGGCTTCTGTCGTTCAGGAGCTAAAGCAGGTCAACTACCAACCAGAAGGTGTTTTGAGTCCTGGTTCTAACATTCTGCATGTGGAGCGAGATGCTGAACCCTACAAGTGTGTGACAGTTGTAGGGTACTTGTACTTGTAAAAGTACTTGTGTGAATGGATGAATGAGACTCGTGGTAAGAAACCACATGTGCAGGCAGAAACACAACAAGACTGAAGTCAATCAATGAAAAATTGGAGCGGCCCTGATAAATGATCCTACAAGATGTCGTCATCTGATCATTTAAGTGTCTCATTCAACGGTTGTTGGAGACGCATGAATACATCATTAGTGTTGCAGAAGCCTTAACATCTTTCCCCTCTTTTCTGTGCATCCTTTGAAGTAGCTGAAGTTGT